CTGATGATGATATGGGGCATGAGGCTGGGGGAGCGTAGCTGGGAAGAGCTCTGTGGCAACACCTTCCATTTGAAACGCAAGCCCTCCCCTGATGCAAGCGTGCGGCAGAGGGGTACTTATCACACGGATTTACTCTAATTCCACGAGAGAAGTACAAGGAAAGGGCACTCTTGGTACTGTGTGTGTAAAAGCAAACACCTCAAAAGTCACTTCTTATCAGCACACCTTGGTGCATGCATGAAATGAGACAAGCGGCGGCTTGGGAAGAGCCAAGCCTCTGCATGCTGACGAAGCAAAACCTCTGAGATAGATGGAGCAAGGACTGTGTGGACCTATGGCACGTCTGACCGCGCACAAGCTCTCTGGAGTTACTGCTCAGAGGCGTTGCACAAACTGCCTCCAAGGAGCTGGACTGCGAGGAAGCCGCAGTGACTCTCCACAGTGATGAACTCTTAGGTACCATTTGAAGGATTTTCACTACATGAAACTATTTTCTTAATAGAAATTCCGGGGGCTGGAGTCATAGCACAGTGGGAGGGCATTTGCCTTGCATGCGACCAACCCGGGTTCGATCCCCAGCATCCCATATGGTCCCCCGAGCACTGCCTGAGTAACTCCTGAGTACAGAGCCAGAAGTAATGCCTGGGCATTGCCAGGTGTGACCCCAAAAAACAAAACAAAAAAGTCAATAATAGCAATTCCAAGAGGCAACATTTCCTGTTTGTTCAGGAAAGGACCTGCATGCACTCTGTAGAAAGGGTACAGAAAGCACCCCTCTTTGGCCCACTGAAGGTGAGTTTCCACATCCACTGAGTACATCCATGACTAAGGCTATTATTCCCCAAATAGCTGAGAAGTGCTGAAAGACAGATAAGGTCCTGCCATCCTTCCCTTTTCCTTCCGCTATGTGGTGTCCATGCACAGGTAGAGAGAATTGCTCATTGCGATTCTTCCCATTTTTAGGCCTCTATCATCCAACTCTAAAACACAATGCCAAGAGGAAACCATGAGCATTAGTTCTCAGCAAAAGGAACCCCCGTCAAAAAAATCAATTTCTCTTAATGCCATTTCTTATATGATACTATTGGTCTCACAACCTCCAGCAAAAATGCCTTCAAAAAAAGTACCCACCATTTCTGCAAAATTCCACAAGAATCAGAAAGTCCAAGCGTTTTTTTTTTTCTCAGCTTAGAAAAGTGCAGTTTGCCTCTCAGCAAATGCTGAATCTTGCAGCCATGATAGAGCAGTGATACTGAAACTATCAAGTGAAATTCCACACTCACTTTTTATGGATGCTGGAGAGCTTAAGAGGATCTCTACTTTGTTCTGGATTCCTTCCACCAGCAAAACGCTTCCCAAGCCCCAGAGGAGAGGGAAGCAAAGAGAAAAGTCTACTTGAAAAAATCGAATATCTACTTAGCTGAGAATGTGCTCCTAACTATATCTGATTTTATGTAAGTATTGAGGCAGAAAAATGGACTGCTTTTTTTTTTTCTGCTGGGGGATATATGAAAGCAATTAGTGAAATGAACAAACTGGAGCCCATGCATTGAGCTGTCTGTGGTACTGAAAAATGACTCTGAAGTTAAAACTTCCTGAGTTGGGTTCTTCCCAAGCTTCCCTCTTCTACTATTTCCAAACAAGCACTTCCTAAACCAGCACCTGAACCATCTCCTTTCCCCAAAATATGTCATCAACAGTTGTGAAAGGTCATATGGCCCGCTTTCCAAGGTTCTCAATGGAAATGTCAGGGACTCCCCAAGATTCATTAAGTAATTCTGGCAGACAGAGAGCCAGAACTTTTGACTATCCTCATGCTTTTCCCGAATACAGTGAGAAACTGGATCATGTGCCAGAAACCCACACTTGCCAGCTCTCTCTTTCCAATCGTCATACGGACATGCTAAAAATAAAACCTGTCATTTTCGACTCTCTTCTGCATCCAAGGACATTCTCGGAATGGTAACATGACCCCTCCTGCATTTCATTCCTTAGCTCAAAGCCAATTGACATATTTGAAATTCTTTATAGTAAACTGATAATTGCCAATTTGCTTGTGACTTAGAATACACACACACACACACACACACACACACACACCCTCTACAGGTGTGACAGAACAACTGAACAGGGGTTTAGTTCAAACAGGGTCTGTCACACACACAATTACTCTGTGCACTTGCTCTCACAGAGCTTCTCCTCAAGCATTCAAAAATGAATATTCCTGGATAAATATTCCGACTACTCCCTGGATAAATAATAAAGTTCCTAATTTTTCTGATCCTTGAAATTCTAGCTCAGTCGCCCTATATTTATATATATCCATTTGAAAAGCAGCTCCAGCAAGAATCCACAACCTCTGTTTAAGGGGGATTATTCCTCCAGATAAAACACTGGGCACAAAGGGTACCGACTCAATAAATAGTAGCCCAGGCGTCTATTCTGTATTGGCTTAAGGGTGATTGCTTGGTTGCTGACACCTATTACGTATAATACTTAAAATATTGGTGTACTGTGATTTCTTAGAATTTCCACAATAGTTAGAATTGCACTGTGTTGTTGTGCCTGCCAGGGATGATCCATGTCCCCATTTGTGTCACCTACGTCATGCATACACTCAGCGGTATTTCCATTTGTAGAAAGAAATACTCCTGAAGATCAGCTGAGTGGAATTCTATACAGTGTGAAAGAATCTGTGAACACGTGACTTTCTGTAATTTTGCAGTGTCTATAAGCTTCCAGAGTTCTGATACGATATCTGTATTTTTTACAACACATCATTAACATTTGACAGCTTATTTTTTGACTCCTGTATGCTATTTTTTTAAATACCTGTCAATAATTTTTGTCGTGTGTTTTCATGCTTCTCTTCATGTAAACACCATCAGATTTCCTTGCCTGTCCATATTTCAGAGCAAACAATACAAGAAGATATTTAATGGTGATGATGGTGATAATGACAATGAGGATAATATAATAAAACATCAGTCTTTTTCCAGAGCAAAGTAGAACACTCTCATTTCTAAACAAAAGATTAAATCATTTAAGTGACTTGATTTTTCAATTAATTGCTTAATTACTTTTCAGTTCGGGGGCCACACCCTGCAATGCTCAGGGCTTACTCCTAGCTCTGTACTTAGGAATCACTTCTAGCAGGGCTTCGGGACCATATGGGGTACCTACCGGGGACTGAACCTGAATAGGCCACTTGCAAGGCAAGCACCTTCCCCTTCCCCGCTGTCCAGTTCTCTGGCCCCAGGTCATTAATTTTGAATTGTGGGGTGAGGCACTGCCAGCAGCGCTTAGAGTAAGGGCAACCAGATGCCAGGGACTGAGCACATATGCCAGACACAAGCTCTGCCACTTGCGCCCCATCTCTGACCGCCAGTTACTTCATTTAAACAAAAACTTATTTAGATATTCTAATACTCTTTTTTGGGGGGAGTGGGATAAGAATACTTGTGAGTTTAGAGAGATGGTCCAGTGATGGAACTGGCAAGTTACACAATCCTTCTGACTTTAGTTCTGTCTCCTGGAAAAATGGGCCAAAAGACCCCGAGGCCTATTTTGCTCCTTCCCAACTTTAGCATCTAATTTTTCCATGATAAATGAAACCCTCCCCATTTAAGTTACATTTTAGCAGCACTTCAAAATGACTAAGAATTTCAAAAGTCCATAGTCACTAGTACTGATTAGAGAAAATTGTAAATGGTTACAATTTTGGAGTTTGTTTCCCAATACACTTTGATTAATTACCTTTTGATATTCTTACTTTCTCTAATCCTCAGTCTCTAATTTCATCCCTTGAACCACACAAATCTGAAAGCTAGATTTCCCTCTCCTCCTGGGGGTCAATAAGTACTTTAACCTTTTTGGGGGGCAATAGTTAAAACCTATTTCTTCCCTAGTGAGTATAGGTTTTTTGATGCTAACATAAAATAAACTAATAATCAATACTAAGTTATTTAAGTGGAAAGTTATTAACCTTGTTTTTTATTCAAAGGGCATGAGGGCTGATTTCTGAGGTCCACTGACAGCTAACAAATACTCCCCGAATCCGAAAACACAAATTAGTCTGTGTTCTCAACCACGAAATCTCTCTTAATTTTTGGAAAATTTAAGATATTTTAACCCATGATCTTAATATTCCTGATTACTGGGATATAACTACCCTGCCGATTACAGCAGAGTAAACAACCTAAAAGGTGTTGCCCTGTGGATTTTATTCCAAGTATTCTGGTGGTGGATAAGAGCCAAAGCTAAGAGCAGCATTCCTGGGTGCTGTTGACAAGACAAACATTTGTTTTTCTAATCACACAACTCTCAAGGGCAGTGGCTTCTGCTCTCACATGACATCTAAAGTGAAAAAAAAAGAAGGCTAAGAAGATATGAAAGTATCGAATACACAAATTTAGTCTAAGATTAACCCAGATCTATTGTCTTTTAACACTGGGATGCGGGGGGGAGCATGAAAAAAAGGGGTAGCACTGTAAAGAGAACCAAGTGCCTATTCTCCTCTAGCAGCTACATTTCGGGAGGGAACATAGATGGGCACAATTTCCCGAAGGGTATCCCTACCAGAAAGACGTGTTATCAAACAAACGGAAGTCAAAGCAAATCAAACCAACAAATGAGAACCCAGGCTAATGGACAGACAGTGCATAGCTGGTCTGCAGGCAAACAAAAGAGAAGTGAAGCAACCTAGAGAGGAGTGGGGCGACTGAGAAGTGAAGTAACCTAGAGAGGAGTGGGGCGACTCTGGCTTTCGTTGGACAATCCACCCTAAGAACCCAGGCACGCTGGCATGTTGCACTGTTGGGGTGTCTTTTCGGGAGGCTCAGGTGGGATGCTAGCATCGGAGAACACAGCCCGTGTCTTCTGTCACCTCGAGCAAGGGCAGGCGGGCCAGGAAGCAGCTGCTCTGTCTGTCTGCTGCCTTGCGCTTCTCCAGGCCAGTGCCCCGGCTTTGGGTCATTCATAAACATCAGAACCTAAATTACCTGTATTTCCCTGGCGTGGTACACGATGATCAGACCGAGCAGGATGATCGTGGAGAGACTGATAAGGCATTTCAGAGCTAAGGAGTACAGCGACGCCTGCAACATAGTCATAGAGAAGCACGTTTAAGAGAGAAAGACCTTTCCCCTCCCGCCAGACCCTGAGGCTAGGTCAGTACCCCCTCCAAGAGGACCTGAGCTCTCAGGCTGGGCGTTGGGGGAGGCTGGAAGGATAGGAGGGCATCTACCGGGGCTCAGGGATCTCTCAGGTCACTTGGTCTCCCAAGGCAGGGAGTGGAGCAGAGAGAGGATGGAAGGCGGGCGGGTGATGGAGCAGCACCCTCCGAGCCCAGGAAACCCGGGAAGAAACAAGCTCCTGAGCTGATGAGCTTTGGGTAACACTAGGCATCCCCGATCCCAAGCTGCACGAGAGGACCCACGCGGAGTGTCCTTTTCCCTCTCCCAAGGTCTCCTGGAAGCGCGCGCCTCAGGAGCCCGACCGCGCCGGGCACTGCGCCGGGCACTCCGCTTTCACAACTTTGGCTGCGCGCAGAGAGGCGAGTTGAAATCGCAGACTCTGGGCGCGCGTGCCAGCTGGAGCTCGGCGGGCCACTTGGGGCACCTGAGTCCTCTGGGGGGAAGGCGGGCTAGGAACTGGCAGGCAGGGGGATGTGGGGAGCGTGGGGCGGGGGGGGGGGGTTGCGGAGGGGGGATGCTCCTGTCAGTGCCCGTGTCCCTCGGGGCCAGGTGCCCCGGCACCGGAGGGGGACCGGCAGCGGCGGGGCGGCTGGCATACCTTGTCGTAGGCGCCCCAAGACAGCTCGGTCTCGATGACCATGACCACGATGCCGAACATGCCGAAGATGAGCGCGTAGTCGCTGAGCCGCTTGCGCTTCTCGAACAGGGCGCGCCGGTGGCCCAGCTTGTAGCCGATATTCTGGTTCTTCTTCTTGCTGGACTTGGTGCCGCTGCTGCTGCCGTGGCCGCTGCCGCCGCCGCCGGTGCTGCCGCCGCCGCCGCCGGCTCCATAGAGCGCCAGGTTGTTGGAGTTGTTGTGCTCCGGCTTGGACACCACGATCTCCGGGGCTGAGGACGAAGCGGCGGCGGCGGCGGCCGCTGCAGACGGGGAGGACGAGGTGCCACCGCCGCCGCCGCCGCCTCCTCCTCCTCCTCCTCCTCCACCGCCTCCGACGGCCGCGGGGGGCTGCAGGGGTTGCGCCTCCGAGTCCATCTCGTGCAGGTTCCGGCGGGACGCGCTCAAGTTGCTGAGCGGCCGCATGACGCCCCCGTTGTACCTGCAGCTGCTCATGGCTATTTCGGTGAAGGGGTTGCTCTCGCGGCGCGCCGGGGGCTGCTGGTGCTGCTGGTAGTGCGCCGGGGGCGGGGGGTGGTGTTGGTGGTGGTGGTGGTGGTGGTGCGAGAGCGGGGGCCCGGAGCCCAGGCTGCCCAGGCTGCCCGTGGGGCTGGCGGCGGGCTGCAGGCTGTGGCACTGGTGGTACTGGGAGGCGGACGGCGGCTGCTGCGCGAACTGCTGCCGGAGCGCACTGGCATGGCTGGACGGCGTCAGCTCGCTCACATTGAGCTGGCTGCCCCGGCGCGACGAGCAGCAGCAGCAGCACGACGAGCCCGACAGCGGCGACGAGGTGCGGGTCCGGAAGGCGCCGCCGGGCGAGGAGGTGCGGAGCAGCAGGGACAGGTTATCCCCCGCCCCCGCCCCCGCCCCCGGGGCCCCGGAGGAGGCGCAGCTGTTGCACCGGAGGCATGGGCTGCTGCCGCCGCTGCCCGGCGGCTGGTACCCGAGGTGCGGGCGGTGCTGAGGGTGCGGGAGGGACGCGAAGGGCGGGCACGGCTTGTCCTGGCTCGGCGGCGGCGGCGGCTGGCAATGCAGGTGTGAGGAGCGCGGCGGCGGCGGCGGCTGCTGCTGCGGCGGCGGCTGCTGCTGCTGCTCTGAGAAGAAGCCGCGCTGGAACTGCAATGGGGTTTCCATGTCGGGGCTGTTAAAGCTGCAGGGAGACCAGGCGGTGGTGCACCCTGCGCAATGCGTTATGGTCGGGAGCGGGGACTCCTGCTGCTGGTTCGAGGAAGGGCCCATGCCGGCTCCGGTAGAATCCAGGCGGCGAGCCCCATTGGCTGGGCGCACCAAAACAATGGGCATGACATCACCTGCGGGGACCGAGACGGAGTTTGCGGGGCGCGCGCCTTTGGGGGAGCGGATGTGTAAGAGTGAGATGGAGATGGGGGGACAGCTGCAGGAAGGACCCCCTCTTGGGTACGTTGGCTAGGATCAGCCGAGGTGGGGCGGGGGGCGGGGAGGTCCGGCTGCCACTGAGGAGGGCCCCCGAGACCACCGAGGATGGGAAGCCCGTAGGCTGTGCAGCAGGGCTGCAGCTGGGGGCTGGGGGGAAGACCAACAAAAGGGGGATGTTCCTTCGGCTGGGGCTGCCGCCTCCTTAACTCGTGCCGGACCTGCAGCCTGGCTCACTCGCACCAGCACTGCAGCACCCGGGCCACCCCAGCCCGGCACGGGGGACTATGCATCACCCTAGCGACTCCCGCGACCCCGTGCATGCTTGATCGAGCTGCAGATTGACACTCCCACCCCCCAGATCCCCCCCACATCCCCCCACAGGCGTACGGCGGGCGACCAGTGAAGCACTACCACGGAACTGGGGGAGCCCGGCTTGGATGAGCAAAAGTTTGGCGACTGGCTATGACAGTGCCTCCAGGGCCTTGGAATTCCCCCCACCCCGGGGGTTGAGCGCCCCCCGCCCCCCCCCAATTGGGCGGCGGCTGCGAGATCACGGCGGGCTCGGCTACGCCTAGTCCCGCCGCCCCTCCGCGGCCGAGGCTCGCGCGCGTGGGGCTGCGCTCTGAACTGGGAGCGCGGTGGCGCGGGAAGGGTTAAGGGCCTCCGCTCCCCGGGCTGGGGGAGGATGGGGGCGGGGCCGGAGGAGGGGATCCCCGCCATCCCCGGGAGAAACCCACACGGGCTTCCCGGGTCCCCCTGGCGGGGGCGGAGGGCTTTCCCCGTTCCCGCCGCTCACATTTGAGCCTTTTGCCGAACATGAGGGGCCGCTGCCCCCACGGCCGCCGGGTCTCGGGCTCTGGCCGGGTCCGGCCACCCTGGCGGGCAGGTCCGAGGGCTCCGGGGAGGGTCCCGGCGCGGCGGCGGCGGGCTGCGAGGTCTGCGGGTCGCTGAGCCGGGTCCTCGGGGGCTCCTCTTCCTCCTCCCCACCTGCAGCAGAGACACAAAGGCAGGGCGGGTCAGCGCGGCGCCGGCGGCCAGCGGCGTCCCCGCCAAGCCCTGACCACAGGGATTGGGGGAGAAGGGCCAGGCCGGGGAGGTTTCCCACGGGTGGGCTGGAGCTGCCCGCCGCTTCATTGATCCGGGCGACGCGAGCGTCCCCCGGGGCCCGGGCAGGGGTGTCCCTCCAGCCAGGCACGGTGTCTATCGATCTCTTTGATAAATGCCCATTCAAGCCGTTGCCATGTGGTGCCTCGCGAATTTCCCCCGCGCTGGAGAAAAGAGGCACCGGCAGACAACGGTAGGGGTCTCCTTTCCAGGGTTCTTTGTCTGAGCTCCATCTTGCGCGTTTCAAGAGGGGATTTCTTGGTAGAGGGGAAATTCCAGCCTCCGGGAAAGAAAGGGAAAGCCAGGGCGGGGGGCAGGGGGCGGGGGGCGACAGAGGAACATCTATTTCCACTCGACACCGTGCTTGCTAGCACCTGGCTTCTGAAGACGAGGAATAGAACGAATTAGAGAGACCAAGAAATAGAAGAGAAACAGAACACCCTCATTAGGTAATTGCAAGTCTTCTATGGATCCAATTTCTTGACATTCTACTCGGCAGCTGCCCTAAACGTGCTTACCTGGTACCTGCTCCGGCATGAGTGCCTGTGTTTTCAATGCCAAGAGTGAATAATTCATTGGGGGATATCTCCTGGACATGGATTAAACAATGTCCCCACAGCTCGCTACTTCCAACAATGCGTATTAGCTGAGTTTGCCAGTCTCAGTGACCTGGGTTACACACAGCATGTGATTGAGTGAATTGTAGAGACAGCTTCAGAGTTTACCATCTATTAAGAATTTTGGCAATGCTATTCCGTTGGTTGGGAATTGGGAACAAGGCTCCCGGTGTGTTTGGGGGTGGGAGAATAGAAATGGTAAGGATTGTGTGATGAGAGTGACTTCTCCAAAGAATTCTAATGAATAATTGAAATTTACACCGAGGGCTTCCAAATTTAAAGTCATTCACCTTCTGAACCGGAGCAAAATTGAACTCAAACACAAAATCCATCCCCCACCCACCCCCACCCCCGTTTATGTGCACTCTGTAACAAACTGGAGAGTCTTTGTCTAATTGCTGTATGTAGCTGATGCAATAATAAAATTGGGGAAAAAAAGTGATTCACCTTTACAAATTGAAATATGTCAAAAAAGCGTTACCATGGTAAATTAATACTTTTATCAGCCTTTCCTAAATTTAAATGAACGATTACATAAACCCCTTCAAAAAATCACCATAGTTTTTAGCCACGTTATATTTGATACTAGAGTTATAAGAGAGAAGCAAAAAATATCATGCAGTTTCTCTGTGGACGTGATTTTCTAAAATAGCCAAGTGGAATCTTTTAACCTTTTAATAGAGATTCAATAAACAAGTAAGTGGGAGAATACTTACTTGTTTCTTGTATTCTCTGCTATGTACAGCTCCATACCTCTGAACCGGATTAGATACAGTGCCAGGAATCCTCCACAGAGTGTTTCCTGGGATCTATCTCAAGGATGTAGGGAGGTGCCCTTGCTCAAGGAAGTGATTCAAGGGAAGGAGAGAGATGGGAGAGCACAAGTGCCCAAAGAAGTGGAAAATACGGCTTCAGAACAAAGAACTGCCAGAATACAAAACTGAAGACTGAGGAATAGCAAATGGCAAAAGGCACTTCTGCCAACAGTTTGAAAAACTGGGAACACTGATGGTGGGAAATGTATTCTGGTGAAGGGACCGGTGTTGGAACATTGAAACCCAGTCATGGACAGCTTTGTAACTGTTAATCTCATGGTGATTTCATTAAAAATACTAAAATAGTGGGGCACATACTGTAACCAGAGCGGGGAGAGCAAGTCACACAGGGTTCACCTTTTCCTTCTGGAAGCCAGCCAGGCCCACTCACCAAAGCTTGTTACTAAGTGCCTGCCTTGGAGGAGAGGAAAGCGCCCCCATTTGTAGGCAGATGGGACCCCAAACATTTCTTTTAATTTTAGTCTAATCCCTATAAGTTCTTTGTTGGGGCGTCTTACACCGCTGAGCTATGACGGTGCCATGTTGAGTTGTTGGGGGTCTAGAGATGACTCAGGCCGTGAAAGCTTGGGGCGGCACATTCAGTCCTTCCCGTGTTCTTCATGCATGCCAGCAGCCCTGCTATCTGTGTTCCATACGCCAGCCACACCGCCCTAGGAGGGTGAGCACGACCCATTGAGCACCCCCCTCGGAAGCAGAAATCCTGGGCCGTGCAGCATCACTATCAACAGAGGGAAGATAAGTGAGAGGAGAAGGTCATGAGGAAATAAGTCAATAGGATCTTTTTAAAAATTACCACTTATTTTTCTGATTCTTATTCATAAAATCAGCAAAGGAATTTGAATCAAGGTAAATTTCAAAAATATGTGTGCTTTCCTTTTTTTTTTTTTACAAGGGATTATAGGGATACACGTAAGGTATTAAGCCATCAGGATAAAAAAAAAATCAGTGTTTTGTGTATAGCAGATACTCATATTTTTGAGTGCCAAAAAGGAGCACGCAGGCAGGGAATAAACAAACAAACAAATAAATAAAAATTGAAAGATAGACCTTGAAACAGGGCAAGCAGCCCCAGTGACAAACTCAGGATATTAACATTTGCTTTACTTTCCTCCATTAAAATGTTTAAGTGCTGGAATTTCTCTAGTTTAACACCAGAGGTCATACTCTTCCACAAAATGCATTTCAAATGGAATCATCCAAATACCTTTTATTGCTAAGCTCCTTGTTAAAAATTAAAAATACCTTTTTTTTTTCTTACAGATGCAAGCAATTACTCTCCCATCGATGTTGTGTTTCAGCTTGTGCACATGCTTCCAACACCCACACCCAGTATTAGAAGAAAGTTCTCCCAGACTCTAGGAACTTGGGTGAAAGTACTCAGGTTGTCTGCACTTACTGACATCATGCCACGGGCTCAAAATTTTTTTCACAGGTATTGTCTATGCTTGGTCACCTGGTTGTTCTTTAGAAAGCAAGCTTTTTTGCTGTTGGGGTGCCTTTGGGGTTCTCTGGGGCCATGAGCTCAATGGCTATGGGGGCCTTTGGTGTTTACTCCCCATAATTAGAGAGTGGAGGGAAACCTTGACCTACAAAATCAGTGCTTTTCTGATTGACTTTTTCCTTTGCCCACAAGTCAATGCGGGTTGTTGTACAAGACAGAGAGAAGGAACTTGTTTGCTAAAATGCTAAGCAGTACATTCAAATGGGGACTCGGGATTTCATAAGTTTTCTTTGCAAAAAAAAAAAAAAACCCTATGTCTCTTGAAATAGTACAATTATTAAACAAGTTACTCTGAAGTCATGTAGTCTCCTAACTTTGTAATAAATAAATTGTATTTGAGGGACAACATTTAGAATAACAATCATTGTATGTATTCTTAAATTTAAAAGTACCAACATTGGAATGAGCTTTACTGGTGCACGTCTTGTTAGTTTTACTTGCTTTTTGGTGTCAGGGATCAAACTCAGGACCTCACACATGCCATATGTGTGCTTTACCACTGAGTCACACCCTAGGCCCACTATTGTTTTTCAGCAATACACTGTTGTTAAGGAACTGACAGGAATTTGGGGTATATTAATTAGCTGCGTTAACTTTTCAAATATTTTTCTGCTCTCCTCTACCATTTTCTCAGCTAAATAGCACATTTCTGGAAGTTTCAACAGTGCCAACCAAAAGGGGTCCAACTGAGACTGGCATTGCTAGCGGAGCTGAGCTTGAACCATATAATAAAATAGGTTGAAATTAGAAACATTTACATAAACATTTACATAAAATGCTTTCAGTCCATACATTTCATAAGCAAATATTGATAGCTCATCATTCATAATCTAGACCATGGTAGAAAAAACACAGTAAGTGGATAACACATCCCAATTCATAAAGCAGATTTTCATATTATTTTATTGGCATCTCACAGGGACCCTGTGAAGGTAGGAAAGGTTGTACTATCATCTCAATTTTAAAGACAAGGACAATGCCTGACTCAAAGAATGAGCATTGCTCATACATAAAATAAAATGCTATTTTGCAGTATAGCATATTCTCTGAATAAACCCATTCATTCTTACAGGAAACTAAATAGACTGGTCAATCAAGGATCAGAGCCAACATTAAACAAACCTTATCCTACAGCTTAATTTATAGCTTTTTTGGCCTATATATATATATATATAGATAGATAGATTATATCTATCTATCTATCTATCTATCTATCTATCTATCTATCTATCTATATATCAGGGCTGGAGCAATAGCACAGCGGTAGGGTGTTTGCCTTGCACACAGCCAGCCCGGCCGAGCCAGGTTCTATTCCTCCGCCCCTCTTGGAGAGCCCGGCAAGCTACCAAGAGTATCTCGCCTGCACAGCAAAGCCTGGCAAGCTACTCGTGATGTATTCGATATGCCAAACACAGTAACAACAAGTCTCAAGACAGAGACGTTACTGGGTCTGCTTGAGCAAATCAATGAACAACAGTGGTATATAAACTAAATGCCTGTTAGAACAGTGGTATATAAACTAAATGCCTGGGCTACTGAAGTTCACAGCCAGAGAGCAGCAAGGAAAAACTGGGCCACTACTGGGATCTGCCAAATATTATGAGTCTATTTAGCACCCCATTTCTTTGATAATTTTATATTGGTCTGTATGTTTGATATGTGGAGGTAACATTGGTTTTCAAGAGTATATTGTTTATGTTTTTGTGATACAAAGTTAACACCCACAGCCAAAGTGCCAATATCTCCCCGAGTCTCTTGCCCCCATCCTCCTGCCACTATGGTGGGTCCCTTCCTTTATCCTTGTCAATTCTGTTCTCAGGCTAAGGGGTGTTTTTCAGTAGACACTGGCTATTCCCTGCTAGTTTAAAGAAACAGACTCTCCTCCCAAGACACCTTCACACGTTTCTAACCTGTCCTTGGGTTAGAAAG